CCCCAAAACCCCAAAACCCCAAAACCCCAAAACCCCAGTATTAGAGCGGAAAATTGTAATATTAAAATTATAAAAATGGATGGAGATAGAGGGTTCGAAGAAAGCAGACAGCTTTCTCAAAACTCAGAGAATTTCAACTACGACACCCAGATTAGAGGCCATCAACAAGGCAGATGGCAGATTGGTGAGCATAAGAAATTTATAGAAGCTCTTCGAAAATACGGAAAGGATTGGGGTAAGGTACAGCAATATGTGGGAAGTAGGAGCTCTACTCAGGCACGCTCTCATGCTCAGAAATTCTTCCAGAAAATATCCAAGAACAACAATATTAAGGCTGATGGCATTATGGATCTCATCAATGGGCCTGTAGAGCCTGGTAAGTTATTAAAAAATTCAGGGGTTTTGAATTCGTTCTTAGCTTATTACAAAGACACCTATTTATAATTTTAGGCTCAAAAATTGAGAAAATGCTATACGAGTACGATGATAGTGCTGAAGACAGGTAAGCATTCTGGCGTTATAAATTCAAGATCTATGCGAAGAAGTTACAGAGGTGAAAGTCAAAGCCAGAGTAGAAGAGATTACAGAAGAGAGGAAGAGAAAAAAGACCAAGAGCATACTCCTGAGAATAGCGAGCAAAATAGAAGTGAATACTCTGGAAGGTACAAACGCTTCGCAGCAGGAAATGACAATGTCCCAGAGGAAAGGATCACCACTAGAAACTATGAGTACCAACAGAAGCAACCTGTGAGAGAGACACCAGCTCCTATATATGTAAACTATCAAAAGAAGATCAAGAAGAATGAGTACCTTCAGTCAAAGGTGATTGAGAAGGAAAGAGACTTTTCTATTCTTGGTAAATATGATGAAGCTGTGAGAAAAGATCTTGAGAGAGATCTTAATACAATGTCAGTAATCATCATGAATTACAATGGTCCATCAAACCTCACTTCTGAAGAGAAGTTATACAAAATGGAACCAATCGATAGAAGCAGGATGAATGATAAACAGTACTTGTCTGATAGATACAATGAAATTCTTGTAAGAAGCAGGAGAAAAGCTGCTGAATTACTAGAGGTTGACCAGCAAAGGTTCAGAAATGCAGAGACTCCTCGTAGAATAACAAAGGAGGGATATCTCGTCGAATTAAAAATGTTTTCAAAGAATGGAGGGATGCATCAAGGTCAGTATCAAGAACAAAAGTTGAGTAATAGCCAACACTACATGAAAAATGGCAGCGCTGAGGGGGGAGGCATCTACCTCTTGTACAACAATCAAGGGAATAATGGAAAGCCTCAGGGAAGGCAAGTGCCAATAACCAAGCAGAATGTTCAACACGATTTTGCTGGTAAGTATTCCTTTTTACACCTTGAATCCCTCCGGTAATAGTTGGATTAGAACCTTATACTAATGACATGAGGATGATGAAGTCTTACAGTTATCCACAAGACATCAGAGAAGACCCACTGGAGCACAGACAAGACCATGTTTGGGGAGAAGAAGATAACTTTGAGCAAGACTTCCTCTGTAATAGAAATGAAAACTGGCATCCTCTGGAAGAGCAAAGAAACACTGATATGATGAACAGGAGCAACAGCTTAAATCCTTCTGGGTTTATGAACAACCAAGGCTTAGGTAATCTAGAGGGTGAATATGGCAGTGGTATGCCCTTCGGAGGCAACTATCCTCTCCCAAGCATGAACCAAATAGAATCTATGACTAAGAACAACAATTATGATGACTACCAACAGTATCATAATGAGTAAATCTATTTCAATTTCCTCAAATTACTTTGGGGTTTTGGGGTTTTGGGGTTTTGGGGTTTTGGGGTTTTGGGG